CTCTAGCTCAGGTTGTAGTAGTTTAGAGAAGGGCTGTGTGAAGCATTCGAGTGAGCTTTGATCGTTTCAAGCCAAGTTGAAGTGCTTTGAAACCAAAGTTAATGCGGAGGTGGTAAACACGGGAGTGTGAAAAATTGCTTGCGCGTCTTGCTAGTAGGCTTATAGTGGGTACGGCAAGTAGATTCTTAACAGGGGCAAACAGCAAGAGGCTAGTGTGAACGATGGAGAACCTTAAAGTGAAGGAACTCATCGAAATTTGTGAGGAACTCGGCATTACTTTGGGCCGTGCGAAACGAAAGCAAGCGATCCTTGAGATCATGAAGGATGAGGGAGTGTCGGCTGAGGAAGTCGATGAGGCCTGGGCGGATATCAAAGCACGCCGCGAGGAGGCTGAAAGGCGAGAAGTAGAAACTCGCGAACGTGAAGAAGCTGAAAGGCGCGAACGTCGCGAGCGCGAGGAGGCCGAGAGACAAGAGCGCCTAGAGTTGAAACGACTAGAATTGGCAATCCTACAGTGTTCGCAGGCGCCTAGCGTAGCTTCTCCGACGATTCAGGTCAGCGGTATTAGAATTCGGGATCAACTGCCACCGTTCGTAGTAGGCGAGGACATGGCGAAGTATCTCGTCAAGTTTGAACACGTCTGTGAGCGAAATGCTTTGGAGCAGTCTCTTTGGGCGCGGAACCTGCTAGCTCTTCTTCCCGGCGAAGTGTCCGACGCGATAACTTGCTTGTCGAGGGAAGCGTTTGAGAGCTATGACGAAGTTAAAGAAGTGCTCTTGAGACGTTATAAGTTGTCACCTGAGGCTTTCGGGCAAAGGTTCCGGTATGCTGAAAAGGGGAATGAGTCACACGTTGACTTCGCGTTTCGTCTTAAAGCCGATTTGATTGAATGGCTCAAGGGTGAAGGTGTTTATGACGACCGCGATAAAGTGGTGGAATGCGTTGCATTGGAGCAATTCTACCGCTGCATCGAGGAGGATGTCAAACTTTGGCTGCAGGACAGACTTGGGGACGTACAGTTAAACAAGGCAGCTGAGTTAGCTGAGGAGTATTATACTCGCCGAAAGTTGCATAGCAGGGCAGCGCGCGTTGAAAAGAATGAAAGGAAAGAGGGCTTTTCAAGGAAACCTGATCAACGGAAACCCGTTCCGCACCGTAATTTCAAAAAGGACCCGTCTCTTACGAAGGACAGTGTAGGGGAAGGGCAAACAGAAGCGGAGAAATCGAGTGAGGTTTCTACCACACAGGCATTAGAACCGGAAAACAAACGGAAGCCGCTAATCTGCTACAACTGCAAAAAGGAAGGGCACATCGCGAGAAACTGTCAGGAAAAGTTTGCTTTCGCAACGATCCGAGAATCAGAAAAAAAACATTCGGTTGTTGGAGCCGTATCTCCAAGAAATTAGGGTGAATGAGAAAACGTGCCGAGCACTTAGAGACTCAACGGCAACCATGGACGTTGTCCATCCTTCATTGGTGTCTCCGGATGACTTCACAGGAGAATGCGCGTGGATCAGGCAGGTCGCCGAGGAGCAGAGTGTTCGCTTACCAATCGCCAAGGTTGTCATTGAAGGCCCGTTCGGTAAGCTTCGCACCGAAGCGGCTGTGTCTGCCGCGCTGAACGATCGTTTTCCTTATCTTTTCTCCAACAACTCGGAGCAGCTCCTCAAAGAGCAGGGCAAATCGTTCTTCCCCAGCTTTGCGTGCATGGCCCTCACGCGATCGCAAGCGCGAAAGCTTTCGCGGAAGCTGAACCTGGTTCCATGCGGTGAACTCTCAAGTGACCTTGTCGGCGGGTCGACGGAACCCCAGAAAGGAAAGTTTCCGCATGAGTCATGTGAGCAGTCACGCGAGCGGCCCGTCGCCGACACGACCGGCGCGGTTTCCGGAGAAAGGGGAGACGACATGGCGCCATTGAGTCAGAGCGAGAAGGCTGAAACGCTCTCGCCTGTAGCGGAAAGTTGGAGCGAGCTGCCGAGAGTTGATCGAGAGACGCTCATTCGAGAGCAGCGTGAGGATCTCTCGATTGAAGCGCTAGTGGAAAGCCAAATTGAAGCGCTAGTGGAAAGCCAAATTGAAGCGCTAGTGGAAAGCCAAATTGAAGCGCTAGTGGAAAGCCAGAAAAACGCGGCAAAAGTGCTGTCGAAGGAGCACTACGGGGAATCGGTGAAGAAGCGTGTTTTTGAAGTAGGGAATCAGGTAATGCGGCTGCAGCCATCCAAAAGGAACAAGCTTGAGGTTGATTGGGAAGGGCCCGCCAAAGTATTATCGAAGCCTTGCGATACAAATTATGAGGTGCAAGTAGGAAGGCGGCAGAACAAAATTTACAACTTGATGAAACCCAATGTTCAACATCAAGCGGTCGTAAATCAGCTGTTGAAGGCTTCAGAGGAAGAGGAAGCAGAAAATTTGAGTTCTAGTGAGGTGATCGAAGGGGGATCGAAAGTAATCCGGGAGCAGATAAACCTAGAGCCTAGCTTAAGTGAAGGAGGACCTGAGAAAGAGGACCTGAGAAAGATTGTTTCCGAGTTTAGGTATGTGTTGTCGGACCGTCCCGGAGACACGACGGTGATCGAACACGATATCGAGCTAAGCGGTGAGGAGTCAATCAGTAGCAAGCCGTATCGTTGTTCCCCTGTGCAACGTCGAAAGTGTGAGCCGCTCTTGGTGCCGCATAGGTATCGTCGCCTAAAAGTGGCCGGTTACTGAAGTGGAGCATGTTGCTCCACAGCGCAACTTTGACGTTCGCTAAAGAAAAAAAAAGAAAGGTAAACGCTAATGCAGGTGCATTGAGCAGTGCGTTCCAGCTAGTAACTTCTCAACCTTTCGGTTTTCTGGCTGGCGATTCGGGGCAAAAATTTTGACCTCATCACGACCTGGGCTGAGTGCTCTCGTTCAGAGTGATCTCAAGGGGCCAACTTTATGTGGTATTCTAATCCGTTACGTTGTTGTACGTGGGAAAAAAAATTGAGTTGTCATTTTAAGAGTCTTGTGTCCCACATGTGCCTCTTGATGTAGAGGGAACAAAATTCCGATAGACACGTAGATAGGTATATGTTGTACTATACTTTGTCTGGTGTTCTGTCGGGTGACCGAGGGCACTTGCTTGTGTCGTGTGTTGTCTGTTGTCGAACCGTTCTTAGCAAGTTGCAGAACCATCGACAAGTGCTGAAACCGAAGATGGTCAGAAGAGACGAGCGAAGTTGGCCAGCAAGTTGTGGCGACCAGCCAGTGGAGCTGGGATCCGTCGTCAAAAATGGGACGTGTTCCAGGAACAGTTTGGAGCTGTATTCTCCCCATGGCCCTGGAGGCGAACCTGGAGGGACCTGGCGAACGAGCACACCTGACATCCGAGCCCCGTGGAAGCAGCTCGTCTTTCCGGTGCATTGTCTGGCGGCGGGGGTGCTGTTATGCCAGCGAGTCCTCGTCAAACGTCCGTGCCTCTGAAAAAGGCAATCTGGGTCAAGGCCAGCCCGCAGTCCGCCTGGCGCGATCACCTCGACGGCGTGAACACGCGCGGCGCCCCTCTGGCCCACGCGCAGTGAGTCAGCTGCGCACGTGACAGCGAGCCGGCGTCCTCGTGTCAGGTGGTCTGACGCATGGCGCGGCAACCCCATTGGAGGAATCTGCCTTGACGACCAGCGGCGCTTCTGATTGGACATTTTGGTTGGACCCGGTGTAAATAAAAGAAGCCCTGCGGCGCGTCGCGATCGGAGGTCCTAGGAGAGGAGTCCCCGTGTCGGAGAGCCGACATGTGTGTGAGTCAGCGGTCTTAGGCGAAAGGCTGACCTATGTGTTAGAGAGGAGAGCTCGGCTCTTCGAGTCTCTGTCGGCCCCAGTGCCGAAATTGTAACGCCTCTGTATATATGCTGTACATAAACCTTGTTTAACTCACCGTCGTCTCGTCCGCTCGTCTTATCAGCTCGGCACAGAAGCAGTCGCGAGCTGAGATACATACGCTACCAAACGGCTGGTGACCTTCCCGGCGGAGTTGAAAGCAGTGGCGCCTTCGAGGCCGTGTTGGCGTCCCCGTCTTTCGCAACAGTGGTGGCTTCGGCGGGATCGGTCCGTCGTTCGCAACAGCGTCGAACCAGCAACCTCTCGATTCGAAGCGCGCGGCGCTAACCACTACGCCACGAAGATTACGTTGTCGAGGAAGCTAACGGCAATTAGTTTATTTACACAATACACCACTTAGCGTCCTCAAAGCTCCGGAACGTTAGCGCGTTTTCTTTATCAGTAGCGAGATGGCGCGACGGGCTCGCGTTGGGCGCGCTCTAAAGGTCACTACCTTCCCGGAGCGTGGTCTTTTCTGCACGCGCGCTTATCAGACTCGAGTAATTCGGGAGATGACAAAGGTCACTTCGCTCGCTGCCGTGGCCGCGTTTATGAAAATAGCGCGTTGCTGACACACGACAAAGTAAGAATTGTGAAAGTTACTCGCGTTTGTCTCGCGTATACTTGTGCGCTCGTTTCGTGCGTCTTTCTGTTTGAACAGCGTGCTTCAAGTGTCGAGCTGTCACAGTTGTTAGTCCGCGCTTGTCCTGTGTATGCCAATTTCGTGGGTGCTTTCTGCTTGAGGTGCGCTCTGCAAATTTCCAGCTGCTTGGCGTTCTTCCCGTGACTTTGCAATTTGTTGCTGTTTCTGAAACAATGCACAATAAGCACTCAACTACCTCTGTGAAGACGCGTTCCACTTTCGTGTTATACAGATTCCTAGATAGGGGGATCAGCCACGTTTTCCTAGCGACAATTGAGTCGTTTCTTTAGTTGGCTTTTCGTTATATTTGGAGGTTTTCAGGCCACTTCATCTGCAAATTTCGTGGTTTATTTGTCAGATATCTAAATCAAGTTTGCATGACAAAAGGAGTCGCTCAATGTCGCCACCCAACGTGACACGTAGGACTTCCGTCTTAATAATTAACGCAGACAGCGTGCCTCAGAAACGTGCCATCGGTTGCGAGCGCGTGAGGAGAAGGAGGAAGAAGATCAAGCGCAGCATGGAAGGCGGCGGCGGCAGCAGCTCCGAGGGCGCTCAGGCCAAGGCGCCAGCCGAGGGCTCCCCCGCCCTGCAGGAGGAGTCGGCCGTACGCAAGGCCGAGCCCCAAGACTGCGCCACCATACTGCGCTTCGTGCACGCCCTGGCACACTTCCACAACATGCCCGACGCCGTGCACATCGACCTGCAGCAGCTCGAGCATGCCATGTTCAAGGTATACGCACGTGCATACGAATTATGAATTGCGACGCGTTGCCTATGGTCAAAGCGGTGCCAACACTACACGGTGGTGGCGATATAGGAAGCATTCAGTGATGTGGACATATGATAGGACTTTTTCGAAGGTCTTATTAGTGCCTACTGATAAAAGTTACTAAGGGTAACAGAACACGTGACACCCAAGAATGCATACACAAGGGGCAGTACTAGTCATATTGAGTGCCACTGCGCGCAAATACGTTCCTGTGCTGTATATGCTTGGCATGCGGTCCCAAAAAAGCCGATAAGAAAGGAGCACACCTGTGACCGCTGTGCTTCAATCACGCAACAACGTGGCTGCAAAAAGTGACGGGCTTAACGTCTCCCTATTTGGCTGCGCGTTAATTTTTCAGACACATGAGTGTTTGCTGACGTATGTGCAATGAACGCTTTATGTGCGTTTTTGCACAGTGGTTTCGATGTGGTAAGACATGCTAAACATCAAACCTCGTACTCACAAACATGACGCAATCTGTGAAGATCACTTATAATTTTGTGGCCAGGTTTTTCCGCGACAATGAACGCGTACTCAAAGCGCCAATCCTTATACGTGAGGCTTGTTTCCTGCGGCTGGCGCAAGTCGCGCGGCGAATTGGCACACCTCTGAGCCGACAACATACGCAGGAACGGGAACTGAGCTGATTTGACTGGGCCAGGACTGTGCTATAGTCATGTGCGAGGAGACGTAAATTTTGCGTGGAAACGGATGTAAGTCGCACACGCAGGCGCGAACATCACTCGCCTCGAGTCACTTATTGTCACCATTCGCAAGTGGCAGCGTCGCGATTGACGACGGTCCTGGCAGGCGCAACATATCATCTTTCTGAGTTGGTTGACCAATCAAACGGTCAATCAATCAATCAACCAATCAACCAATCAATCAACAAATCAATCATTTAATTTATATAGATAAACAATTGTTAACTAATTATTAATTAATTGTTCAATTAATTATAGCATGCACTATTAGACATTGCATCAGTAGAGTATTTCGACACACTCATCAATTATAAATATTGGTGGCACAGTCAATCGATCGACCAATACATCAAACCAATAAATCAGTAGGTCAGTAAATCATGGGAAGAATATAATTATTTATACTCATTAATAACTGAAATGTGAAATTTTCAATAATTTGTGAATAGTGTAAGTCGACACAATCATCACATGGAAGCCGGACTACAAAAAAAAAAAAGAAATGCCACGCGCAGCTGAAAATTCAGTCCGGGGTGCATTCGCAGAGCAACCCTCGCCAGCTGTGGGCCTTCCTGGCGACCATCCGGCGTCGCGACGCCACCAAGGCACTCGTGGCCGCCGAAGAGGCACCCGCCGGCATGGTGACCTTCCACTACCGCTACTCGGCCGCTCTGGGCGGCCGCATTCTCTACATCGAGGACCTGATCGTCTCGGAGGAGCACCGCGGCCGCGGCCTGGGCGTCGCCCTGCTGCGCGCCGCCTGCGAGCAGGCACTGCACGACTGCTGCCGAGCCGTGCAGTTCAAGGCAAGTCGGGGCTGAACTGTCGACGCGGTTTCTTCGCTTATCCCTGGACATGCACCCGCTTGGCGGGGCTTGCGACACTGCACAAATCTAGTTCAAATATGTCGGTGCAACTTTCTGTAAAACATGAAAAGTAATAGTTTTCTAGCCGTAATTTTACTATGTAGGAAGCTTCTCGGGCACCCACTTTCTTCTCTAGTACAGCAATGTTAATTTTATTTAGCCCAGCGGTTGTCGCAGGACATGTTTCATTTCAGCAATTTATTTATTTATTTATTTATTTATTTATTTATTTATTTATTTATTTATTTATTTATTTATTTATTTATTTATTTATTTATTAGGGAACAAACGGGGGTTAAAGATATCATAGCTGAAATCAAGAAGAAGAAATGGACATGGGCCGGACATGTAGCGCGTAGACAGGATAACCGCTGGTCATTAAGGGTAACTAACTGGATTCGCATAGAAGGAAAGCGGGTAAGGGGGAGACAGAAGGTTAGGTGGGCAGATAAGATTAAGGAGTTTGCGGGTATAAATTCGCAGCAGCAAGCACAGGACCGGGTTAACTGGCGGAACATGGGAGAGGCCTTTGTCCTGCAGTGGACGTAGTCAGGCTGATGATGATGATGATGATGATTCCTTTGTTTGTTTGTTTGTTTGTTTTAGTTAAAGGTACCTTCCACACCCCCTGGAGTATTGCCTAAGTGGGACACTTCAATTAAAATGTCAGAACATGTACATTAATTAGAAGACATGAGGATGGTTTACAAATATTTTCGTGGTGCCGGGACGTGGTCGCAGGCAGCAGCTGGCGTGTCCTAGCTGAAACTTTTTGTTTGGCTGAACTTGCGGCCGGGAAACAAGAAAGCCAATTTAGAGCAATACACACTGCACACACCGATAGCGGCAAACAGAGCGTCGGTCGTCGATGAACTGACAAGCGGTCAAGCGCCTCTGCTTTTATAATACGCGTATCATCGAATATTCCAACGTTATAGCTATTGGCCAGGTAAGTTCCACAACTAACTCTGAGTTCGCGTTGTGCCCGTTATTTCATCGGAAGGTTCCAAGATTGCCTACATAGTTCCCAGTCCATCTGGTGCAAGGCCACAGTTTCCACGTAATGGGTCGTTAACATGGAACTAGATAGGAGCACGTGTGGTGATATGTACAAAAAATGAGGATGACAAATTGTCAGCATAAATTAATATAACGTTACACCATGCACAAACACACACAAAAAAACGAAAAGGCAGGAAAAATTGTCACTATGTAGCTCGACTGCTCATTATATAATACAATTTACCCAGGAAAATGCCCAAATTATAATTACAGAACGAACACAAAATAAGTCAAGAATATTACGAACGAATATTTCACGTTAAACGGTTGCATATGAATACGAAAACAGCGGAGTTTGGATGCTGTGCTAGTATGCAGAATGTTTGCATATCTGTCAAATAATAGAGGTGACATCGCCGCACCGCAGGTGCACAAGGACAACAAGGGAGCCCAGCGGCTGTACTTGAAGAACGGCGCGGTGGATCAGAGCGAAGCGGGGGACGTGCGTCTCTTCTACTTCGACCGGGACAGCCGCTTCCCGCATTCCGAGGAGAAGGATAAAGCCCGCTGAAGCTCTCTCGGGGACGCTGCCGACCGCAGTTATCATTTGAGGCACAGTACAAGCCTCCTAAATACAAAATTAAAAGCTTAACAACGCAACCCGGAAGACGTGGTGAAGTACTCGTGTCGTTTGTCTACCTTTGCTTCAGAACCATTTCACAGTGAAGCTGTAAATGAAAAATTTGAGCATATGCGTCATCCGCATGCAAAAACACGTGTGCTTATGGGAGCGGGCCAACAACTACTATTCAACACTGGTCCAACAAAAACGAAGTCAATCACGGGCAAAATTGTGTGTGCCTCGTAAATTAGCTGCGATGCCCTACTAAGTAAATGTCGCGCAGGATTTGCATCTGTTACTTCTTGCTAGCAAGCTCGTAAGTTGGTCTCGTGGGTTTGTTTCTCCTCAGTGTTAAGCATACTGCAGCGCTGCACTCTTTACAGGCAGCGAGTGAGTTGGGTTCTTGGAAGAATTGACAGAAAGTTGGGTGAGTTGGTACTGATCCACCGAGGTACTTCAGCATTAAGAAAAACAAAATGCACAATAAATAGACAAAACCAGCGCTCACGTCAGACCAATGGTTTACTTAGAAAAGCGGTCAGGTTTTACCATACTTTAGATGATGATGATGATATGTGGGGTTTAACGTCCCAAAACCACCATATGATTATGAGAGACGCCGTAGTGGAGGGCTCCGGATTTTTCGACCACCTGGGGTTTTTTAACGTGCACCCAAATCTGAGCACACGGGCCTACAACATTTCCGCCTCCATCGGAAATGCAGCCGCCGCAGCCGGGATTCGAACCCGCGACCTGCGGGTCAGCAGCCGAGTACCTTAGCCACTAGACCACCGCGGCGGGGCTACCATACTTTAGAGGCAACAACAACAGGGAAACGCATGTGTGCACAGCACACTAAGTAAACTGTCAGCTCAAAGAAAACAATAAAAAAAAGCTACCTCTTGCACATAAGGCTTACGGAACTAAAGTTCCGAAATTCCTGACAAAAAGTTTGGCAGATCCCAAGTACCATAAGACTCAATATCATGCGAAGCATGTGGAGGGAAGGTGATGGTGGTGGTTTTTTTTTTGATTAATCGAAACGTTACAAAATGACACTGAACTTATGTACAGATGTTATACGCACAGAATTGTTTGTTGAACAGAAGCACATGTTTTATATAACTAGTTGTTTACAGCTGTGAAGCAATGTCAAGAACAACATGGGTATTACCCACACCAGAAGCGGTAAGCTGAAATGATGTAGTGCTTGGGCTTGCGAGGATGGTATCCCAGGATAGTGCTAAGTAGACCAAGGCTTCAGTGGATTGCGCTTAACTACGAAGATCACCGGTCAAGCCCTTCGTACAAATCGTTAGCCAGCGAAAGCTGAAACGTACGGCCCCAGAGCTTAGCAGTGGGTTCAACCCGACGCTGCAGTGAAGCCTTACACAATTGTTGGTTACAGAGCTTCTTAGCGAGGTTGGAGACACGTTTGGCTAGAGTTTACCACAATGTTGTTTTATGCCACACATTGTGTTTCCCATTATCACGCTAATGAAGGACTGTAATCAGTGGCTAAATGTGTTTCGCAGTACGTTAATCACAGTGGTTGTTCTCGAATTACAGGCGGTCACAAGCGTCTCAGCCGAAGCCAAAGGACCGCAAGGGAAACTGCCGCCGAAACCGGGGCGAACGCGCACCAGCAATCGCCACGTTGACGCTGTCTTCTCGCAACGGCGCGGCTTGCAAGCGTTTTACATAGTGAGTCAACTCGGCGACGTGTTTTGCAGGATGGGACAACCTCCGGCGCTTGCAATCCCGTCGACGATTTAGCGTGGCTTGGAAGGCTGCCGGATCATCGGTACACAGTTGCTACCGGCCCTCAGCCTCCCGGGCCTGTTTTTGTGACCGGACTGCACCCGAATGCGAGGCGTCACCGCTCTTATAGAGTTGTCCGTGGCTTACCCCCGTGAAAAGTTTTAGTGGGGACTGATACACGCATGCTCGGCGCCTTGGCTGAGACCAAATGGACGACGTCGATCACAGCGGAGCCAATAGCGCACGTGCTTGGGTACCACGTAACTGATAGTAGAGCCAATGGAGACCCCTCGTGACAGCACTACCGGACAGTTTTTCATTTTTTTAGCCACATACAGTTTTCGCTGTTATTGACGCTAACCAGACGTGACGCATGTAATATCGGAGTATATATATTGCCACGTTCCGCACCCCTGACCACCGCCCAATGTGCTACCACTGCGGCGAGGCCGGGCACACTTACCGCCGTTGCCAGTACCGACAGATGGGACTGCGTGGCTTCGCCGTCAATGCACCACGTCCGCAGCCAGGGGAACGACCAAGTGACATCGCCGACTACCTGACAGGAACTCAATGGACACCCCGAAGTCCTTCCCAAGCTGTCCTATCTGTCGGTGCTGGCAACGGTGGTAAGTGTGCCCGGCCTCGCCGCAGTGGTAGCACAGTGGGCGGTGGTCAGGGGTGCGGAACGTGGCAATATGATTTATAAAAGTAGATTGGCAGCACTGCAACCACAATTGACGCTTCACCGACATTACGACTGCATAGGGTCTTTCGGCAAAGGAGTTCACAGACCTGGAGTGACTCTGTGGTATAATGCTAAATTGTCACACAGAATGCTTGGATTTGATTCCTGTTGGGACCCTAATATTTATTGTTTGCATTCGTGGAGACAATGCTGACTATGCCAGTTTTTGTAGACGCTCTCACACATAGTTGATCATTGTCAGTTCTCGCCCTTGTTGGGTAGACATCAACTGTCAATCACCTGCGGCGCATAACTGCATACCGCGACGTGTGGCATAGTGGTATGCGCTACACGGGTCCAGAGAAAGGGTTTGACGTCGTACGCAACGTGATGTTCGCATTTTGTCATCACCAGAAAGTCGTGTTCGTCAAACCCTGCTACCCTCCCATTTTAATTTTGGTCTCCTAGCTTAGAGGTGATCACGAGAACACCCAGATGAAGATCGATAGATAGATAGATAGATAGATAGATAGATAGATAGATAGATAGATAGATAGATAGATAGGTAGATAGATAGATAGATAGACAGACTTAAAGTGTCTACTGTACACAAAGAAATTATAAAAAAAAACAATCCATGCCAAGTAAGTGCATGGCAGGGGTGCCGCTGATCTATTGCCAGTGAGAAAGGTTTAACGGGAACTTAATTGTTAATTAGGTCAATAGATGGCTGGATCACGCACGTAGGAGCAGGGATATGGAAGGCATTGGTTATTAATATCTCTTGTTTTCTTGTCTCGGTGCTGAAAAAAAAGGCGGTTTTAGTTCGGCTTCGGCCAGTAGAAAGATTTTTGTGCACTTAAAATCTGTAGAGCTCTCAGCATCTACACACACGAAACTTCACTACGCGCGTGAAACTTGTTCTTGTTCACCTTTAGTTCAGTGGGTGCCAGTATATCACGAAGACAGCACTTGCTATTTGTCAGAAATAAGTCAAGGATGGAGGTGAAATCCGTAATTAACATCGAAATTCATTAATCTCGGACGGAAACGTTAGCAATTGAGTGTGCCACATTGAATAACATAAACTTCAGTTTGGTGGTGTGCCCACTCCATTGCACTTCTAAGCCAACAGGCTTATTGGTGTACTTGTACCGAAGCAACTATGGCTCTGTGTGGAGTTACGAGCATTTGGGCTCGTGAATACGCATGGATTAAAATGTCTTGAATAGCGCAAGTGAGATGAATAGAATGAAATACAGAGGGCTAGAGGAACAACACAGAGAGCTACCACATAGATCCACATCTGTCTAATTTCTCTTCATTTGCATTGAGCGTGGAGAGGCCGTTCTTCGACGAGTCCACCATTGCGGAGTCTGCTTTGCGTCCCCGTCCCCCTCAGGGCGGTGTATAAAGCGCACAAGCTTGGAAGCTGGCTTTATTTGTACCTTTATTTGTCGTCTTATAACGTGAGCTAATGCACGAAGACGGGATGGGCCCCGACGGCGTCCCAGCGGGGTCAGCAAACAACTAGCGCGCTCCGCAGAGTGCTCGGCGGTCATCGGGATTGCGCACGTCTCCGTACGCCGCAGGCCTCGCGCTCGACGTCGAAGACCCACGGGAGCCCTGCACGCCAATCGAAGCTCTGGTTCTGAGGACGTCCTTTTTGAGCTGTTCGATGTTCCTTCCTTTTTTCTCTAGTCATTCGGAATCGACCTGTGCCCTATGCGCTAATCAACCCTAGAGGGCTTTATTCCGTGCTTCCGTTGTTCCACATCCCAGTGTGCTTTGTTGCAGTGCCCTTGGCGTGTGGCCTGCATAGTCTAGCGGTGTGTATGCCGCAAGCTGTTCACTAATTCACCAGCAAATGTGTTTGCCATGCTTTCTTTAGAGAAGTTGATGCGTTTATATTGAATGTAAACAAATTTATAGGATTTACTTCAACTAGAGAAAATGTTTCCCGCTCTCACTATTTGATGGTTAAACTTTTGTGGTCTTTGCTTTCCAAGTGTATGCTGTGTTCATATTTGAGACGACGATTGAAGGTGTAATTAAGCCGTTTATTAGTTATAATACAACAAATTGCCGATGAACTAATTAACCTCCTTTCAATAAGACGCAGGCAGCGGATACCCCAAATTCAAGAGCGCGTGATCAAGTTTGTCTGTCGGGAGTTCCGTGCCGTGCAGTCAGAGCTAGATTAACGAGAGTCACTCACCGCTGTTGGCAATTGATAGAAATTACGTGCAAAGCTTGCAAATAAAATATATGCATGTTACAACACATCCTCTGGGAGTGCGATTCTCTGGTGTCCGGTATTACGAGAGGCAACTTCGAAAGGTTCATCAAATCACCAACTTAAGACAACTGAATCTTGGCTGTCCAGTACGCCCACGATGGAGTCTGGAGGCTTGACCTCCCTGCTCAATCAGGGGGATAGCCAGGTTGGCACATTCACTTCATGTACAGGATAAATATTGAATGTCGAAGAATAAGAAGA